GCAGTCCCTGAGACAGCTCCTACGTCTGGTAGCCTTCTTCAGGTGCCCTGTAATTTTTTTCAGCTATATCTGTCTTGATTTCAGCTGGGAATGAATTAATCTTCTTCTTAGTAGATGGCACAGTGCTGTGTTTTTGGGTTTGATATGAGAAAAATGTTGATAATGCTGTTGCTGTAGTTGTTGCTAAATGGTGCTTACCCTCAGCCAAGGGCTTTGAAGTTTCCCATGCTCTGCCAGTGAGCAGGTATATGAAAAGTTGGGAAGAAGCATAGGCAGGACTGCTGGTTTGAACTGGCTAAACATGGGACGTCATGCCCAGTATATGAACTGGGAGGAGTTGGCTGGGATGAGCCAATTGCTGCTCAGGCACAAGCTGTGCATTGGTCAGTGGGTGGTGAAAAATTGTCTTGCGCAGAACTCATCTTTCTTGGGTTTTATTTCTCTCCCTCTCTTGAGTTGTTATCATTATCATTATCATTATTATCATTACCATTATAATCACTATTATTATTATAACTATAATTTTTAATGTGTTTATTATTTTACTATCTTTGTTTCAATTATTACACTAGACTTACCTCAACCCCCGAGTTTTTACTTGTGTTTCTTAAATTCTCCTGCCCATCCTGCCGAGTGGGAGAGGGTGAGTGAGCGGCTGTGTGAGCTCAGTTACTGGCTGGGGTTAAACCACGGCCCATCCCGTTTTCGAGAAGCGGCGCACTGAGAAAATGGAGCAGCCAGCAGAGGGCAATGAAAGTCAGTTTTTGGAGAAGTTACATAAAACCATCTCAAAGTGGTCGAAAATGTAGGGCAAAAGGGTCAAACAAGAGCATGTTGTGAACGGCTGCTATACATCCATTTCTACTAATTACTACGAGACCCAAGTGAACCCTTGTGGTCATGTGATCCATAAACCTCCTTTTTTAACAGCCACATTAAACAATGCAGCTCCTTATTTATGACAATGGAGTTAATAGTCATTTCAACAGGGGGAAAAAACCCAGTAAAAATTATATTCTTCTAAAATAGGACAAACAGCTTAAACCAATAGCCAATAAACCCACAGCTCCTCATATAAATTCTGTTTTATTGGTCTGTTCTGGACAGCAGTTGTTTTGTTTAAGTTGATAACAGGTCGTTTTTCCCAAGACAATTAGGTGCTTGGATGAAAAAGAGAGACGTCCAGAGAAGTCAGCTGTTGCTCAGATCAGACAGAAAAAAAATGCTTCCCTCAGTCAGACTCAAAGCTCTTTATCACATCTCTTAATCCCATATGCTAGGAATAATGTGAATTTATAGTAAAGAACAATCTTTTTGACTTGGGTGACATCTGCTAGGGATGTAACTTTTATCTAGGCAGTTGGGCAAGCCAAGAGAAAGCAAGCTGTGTTATTTGCCTCTGACAATCTGGGCAACATCTTTTTGAGCTTGATCGTGGCTCTAGGTGCCAAAATTTTTAAACTGATCTCTTGACATTGCTACGCTAACCAAAGAACAGCTTAATAGCAGGAAATGCCTGGAGTGTTAGTGGGAAATTGTGTTTATTTATTCTGTGGAAGATCCTAAAGGAGCCCTTCAGGAGTGGGACCCTGTTGCAGCTCTGCTGTGCTGCAGAGAAAAGCTCCTGCGTGCTGTAGATTGGGTTTCACTGCTGTGTGTGTCACACCAGCTTGGCTATCCTGGGCATGGGGCTTGGCTTTTCTGCAATGAGCTTTCCTGCACCTCAAAAAAGGATTAGTAATTACTGTATGTAAAGTGCTGTGACTGAAATGACTATATAAAAGCTAGGTTGTGTTTTTGATACAGGATAGAAGAGAGAAAGCAATACTGCTTGTATGAATTTTATGAATATTCATGAATGTTGTGAGTCCAAGAGAAAGGTCCTGGGCTGTTTAGGTGAAATTAATTATCTTTGCCTCCTAAACTTTCAGCAGAAACTGAGAGCTATAATTGTCTGGGTAAAATTTCTGTCTGACCATTCAGAGTAACAGAGTCTAGCAAGTATACTATAGGAGGCAAAAAAAGAGAAAAGAACACTTATTGTAAAAATGAAAAAAAGAAAAGCAAAATAGAACCTTGCAATGATGACGTGATTTTTGAACAGTCATGAGAAGGAAGAACAAAGTCCAGAGGAAGAGGAGGGGTGAGCCACCCACCTTGTGTTCCCAGCAGAGGTTCCCAGGTGGGATGCAATTGACTGGTGGTAAGTGCCCTCATGTTCCTAGCTATTAACAGTTATGATAATTGGAACAAAAGCTCTCAGTGCCTGTTTGTGCTTAATTCAGAAAGAATACAGGACATGTTCCACTGTGTCAGACACAGGCAGATGCTAATAAGTACCTGTTTGCATATGAGATAATTGCTGCTTCTGGGTTTCCATGATGTCTTGTCAGCTGATATCCAGAAGTCTGGCTGGTGCCAGATCAGACACCAGGTGGGATGCGCCTGGAAAGATGGCAAATATTTGACTTGGTGCTGATGAGGTGGATGTCAGTCATGGCTCTCTGTCCTCATCAAGATTGTGGCAGGGGCAGTGGGTGTGTTTGAACCCTGTCAAGTCTTCTTTCAATGGCTGCTGCATTTTGCTTGTTCACTTGTCTGATCATTCGGATGCAACAGAGAAATTCTGTTCATGTGGGCGCAACTGAAGTGCGACCAGAGTGGCTCTGCCCAGGGCTAGAGATGCTGTTCCCAGGGGGACAATACTTCCTGCAGGGTAGGAGCCCGTCCCCTTGCAGGAGGAGTTATTTGGGCTTCTTTTTGATAAATGGAGTCTCCTGCAGGTGTGCAGCGGAGGGCATCCTGCCTGCAATTTCCCTCTGCTGGGGCTGGCTCCTCTCCTGGGCCATGTGGGCCAGCTGAGAATTGCAGGAGGGCAGGGCAGACTCCTCTCCTGGGCCATGAGGCCAGCTGAGGATTGAGGAGGGCAGGGCTGCCCCAGTTTAGCTGCTGTGCAGAGCTCTAATGGAGTCAGTGCACCGTAATGCAGCAGCACTTCTGCCAGGCTGACGTACTCTGCCAGCGCACATTAAGTGAAATCAGTGAGCACAATAGTTGTAGGCAAGTCACAAATAAATTATATTCATAGGCTTTAAATATTTTATTATTTTTTTTTCCTGAGGCTAAGAGGGGTGGTAATTCAGTCTCCTATGTCTCTCCCACAACACAGACTTTCATCCAGCTACTCCTAACAATTTGCGGGCAGATTTTAGACCTTAAAGATACACGTCAGCATTCATTGTTGCCTACTTAAGTTTGTAAAATAAAAATCCCTATATCCTCACCCATTAAAATAATCACAAGGTGGTTTTATTTCATTTTCCTGTGTTGAACTGTAGGAAAAAGAGGAAATTGCTGAAATATTTTTCTGTCTTTTTTTTTTTTTTCTCTCCTTTGTCTCGAGGTGTTCACATATTGGAGTGAAATGAAAGCACTGATCTAGAAATAGTCAACCTTTATTACTCTTTCTCCCCTCACACCCATTTTTTCCCATAACCAGACCAGCATCAGCTGTTTGGAGGATGGAGGGGACCAGCAGCTCCCAGAAAGGTGGCTCATAGCCAGGGGAGTGTGGCAGTGGCCTCCTGGGACTCCTGCAGCAGGGCGTGGGTGAGATGGAGGGCAGCTGAGCCCTGCACAGGCTCATTGTGTGGGTATTTAGGCACAGCAGCACCCCAGCAGGGCTTTGTGGCTGGTATATATCTCATCATATATCATATATATCGTATCATCACCTTTGAGCTGCATGCAGATCAGATTCTATGCCAGGCAGTCCCTGTGCCCAGCTTTTCATAAGAGAGTCTGTAATAGTAAAGTAATGAACAAGATTTTGAATTCCTTTGAGTTTATGATAAAAGTACAAGTGTTGAAAGCATTGGGAAGCATACTTGGAAGAAAGTGACAATTTGATGTGTTCCAAAAAGCAAGATTAAAGGTTTTAAAACTTGTGACAAAATCACAAATACTTGAGGTTTTTTTCTTTCTCTACCCTTCCTGCTTTGGCATGGGTGAATCATGCCCCATCCCTATTTTAGATGTGGAGAGTATTTTCTTGAATAATTTTAAAAGCGATCACTTAGCACTTACTTTCCCTCTGAAATAGAATATTAAGATTCTTTCTTAGCTCATAAGAACTAAGTTATGCATTTTAAAGAGAGGAAGAGAAAAATAACAGAATAAATAATAATAAAATATTTTAAAAATAATGAATTGTTGATTATTTTTATATTCAAATATCTGAAAATGAAAGCTTAATTTAGTTTTCGAGACATTTTGTGCCACTGCAGCCACAGTAAAAGGCATTTGATTGAATAAGGTAGAATAACAAAAATACCCAGAAGAACAGTTGATCACAGACATAAAAAAAAAGATTTTCTGTTCTCTATATTGTAGAAAAATTAAGTTGAGAGTCGTGAAGGAAAACTTCTTAAAGGAATGGATTTGTTAACATTGGAAGCTTAACTTTTAGAATGTTTTTCGTCTTCAAAGAACAAACGCTTACTGCTGTGCAAGAATCAGCCACAGCATTTTTTACTGTTTTCAACAAGAAAATGGTATGGTTTTTAAGTGGAAAAAGCAAGATATAGAGAGGTAAAAATATTTTGTAATCATGCCACAATAGGAGCTAAGAAGTGAATTGGAATTTTTTTTAACCTGACAATATTCATAGTTAAACATTATCATTTTATTTGCAGTTTATCAGTAATCCCCTACAGAAAGCAGCAATGCATACATTCTTTAAAATGAAACTGCATGCTCTTGGTTTAGGCTTATTATGTCTTACAATGTACCTTTACACTGAGAAAGTTTTGTGTTTCTTAATAGTGAATTACAACACATCTTCTTAGCTGAGAGAAATTGCCCACTTTCTGCTGAAAGTAAACTGGAAATTTCCATGTTGATAAGAAAGCCTGAAAGCAAAAAATATTATACATGAGGTAATGCAAAATGCATGTTGCTGTGACAGGCTCTTAGCCAGAGCTGTTCTGAGCTGATCCTACCTTTATTCTGCCCTGCTCTCTCCTTTCCCATCTTTTTCTTCTTTCCCATTCTTCATTGCTCCAAACCTAAAGATGGCCAGATATGAAGTGCTGCCAGTCACGACTCCTAAGCCTCAAAAGGATCTCTCATCAGCAGTGACAGAGGCTCTTTTGTGCAGCTTTTGGAAGTGGCTCTGGCTGCTCCGCGCAGGCAGGGAGCTGCGGAGCTGCTCCTCAGTGCAGCCTCTCTCTCCATGCACCATCTGGATGTTGGAGGGAGTTTTGTGTATCTTTCCCCCAAGGCTTCAGGCGAGGTAAGGCTGCAGTCAGTGCCGTGGTCTGCAGGGACACATCATTCTAGATGAGTGAATACAAAGAAATGGGCCTCTGCATTTCAGTCCATCTCCCCAAAAGGTACTTCTGGCCGTGTGTTTTGCCAGCTGAGTAGTCTTAAAACTACAGGAAACGTGCTGAACTTATACTGAGAATTCATCACCAAATGGATGCATCACCATGGCTATCCTAACAGAAAACTGTGAAAAGCAAATTAAATAGAGGTAATGCTAAAATATTTAGTTTAATACCCTTGTCATGGGTTTCTAAGGGTCAGGAAATAGACTGTGCTTTCTGAGAGGGGATTTTATAGGAACTGTCAGCCTTATTTCACAAGGCTTTGCTATATTTTTTTGTGTCTTGCTCTGTGAAAATGTGAGTGCAAAATTCTGCTACACTGACAGGTCAGTTAATACCACTTAGCAAGGGGCAGACAATCTGTCAATTGCAAGAGCCAGGGAGAGGTGACCCTTGTCTTTTGAGGAAGTGATACAAATTGGGTGAGAAGGCATCATAAGAGCAGCCACAGTCAGTCAAACCTCTGATCTGCTTAATTCAGTAGTTTGTAAGCTAAGGTGGCTAGCAGGGATGCTTAGAAAGAGGATAAAGAACAGTGTAAATACAGAAACTGTCTTTCTGTAACACAGCTCATGAGCTGGGAGAGAGGGAAGAGAGCCACTGAATGAGACTCTGAAAATCCTCATGCCTCTCTTGCAGTACAGAATTCTATATTGCTGTGATTTACGCCTGTACAGGAAGATAGCATTTATCAATGCCTAGGCCAAGGGGAAACCTTGCCTTTACCTTCTCTCTGCTTCCTGGCAGCTGAAGTTCAGCCTCACTGCTCTCTGGGGCCAGGGGCTCCCCGAGGCAGGTGCAGTGTCTTTGTGTGTGTCAGCAACGGTGCCAGCTCTCCCTGGGGCTCTCACACAGCCCTGTTCACCGCTGTTCCTTCCACTCCACAGCTCCAGAAGACCTCACCTCTGGTCAGTGGCTCATGGTATCCATGCTTCTCTAGATCATGTCACTCAAATTTTTGGTTTTGATGTCAGCATAAGGGACTGGGATTGTAGGAGTGCAGTGAACCTTCTGTAGTAGGTGTGTGTGATTACTGATCACTAATAAAGCTGGGCATACATTTTTGATAAAGAAGCAACAATCAAGGAAGAAAACTCTCCTGGGGAACCCTTATACCCTTCCTTGTGGATCTGAGGGATCTGTGAAGCTGTAAAGCTGGTGACCACTTCATCTCCCCTGCGCAAAGAAGAGGTGTACAGGCATGGAAAGTTTCTTGCACAGTTTCTTGGATTATTTTTACATTATTTTCAAATGTGTTTCATGAGTGGAACCACTTTGGGATGTACTTTCTAGTATTTTAACTAAAGGGGAACCTAAAATTGGTGTGCTGTGAGCTACTTTTTAAAAATAGTTTTAGACGCATTAAGAAAATGCTCCTGGAACATTTGACCATTGAAAACAAAAGATCGTACTGAGTCCAAATCAGCAGAGCCTTTTTTCACCTTGGGCTAAAAGATTTTAAGGGCACACAAAGGCAAAGAGCTGAACAGTACAGCAAGGAGAGGGTTTGCTGACAGTGCACTGTACAGCGGGTACAAGATGGTGCAGTTCTTTCCCCTTCCCTAGGCAGCACTCTAGCATATTAACATCCTTTATTCAGCATTTAACAAGACCATCACTGTGTCATGGCTGCATTTCTGGGCAATGCCATTCTGACACTACCTCAGGGTAGAAATGCTTTAACTGTAACACAAATGTACCTTACAATAACAGAAAATCCTTTTGCAAGATGGAGGGTAATGCATTCCAAACAGAGGAGTTCTGTGGCCCCAAGCTGATATCTGCCAGAGCAGCCAGAAAGATGAATTCACAATAGCAACAGTAATTTACAATAATTTACATGAAAACCCCCCATAGTAACAGAACTGGAGGTTACTTTGAAAACAGATGAGATTCCTTTTTTTCCTAGCACTAATGATGCTGAAATATTTTAAATAAGAATTTTATTGAAACTACAGGTTTCCTGGAGAAAAAAAATATCCAGTTTTTTCCCTTCCTTTTTCCTCCATTGCCATTTGGAGGAATCCCTTCTTCCTCAGGAGGCTCTATGCAAATGGTAAAGTTACCACATAAATAGGGAATACAGAAGGAATCTTAATTTTCCTTCTGATATATCTCACTGGCCAAAGTAGTGGAGAGATTTCCCTCACTGCTTTCACTGTGACAGATTTGTGGGTGGATGTATGCAAGAACCAATGGATGTGTGTTACCTTTATAATGTAAGAGGGCTGAGAACCATTTTGAAAGGTGATTGGGGCCACAATATTTGTTGTTCAGCAGCACCTCGGAGCCATGGAGTCTCTCTCTCCATGACTCAGCTCCTCCCAGGTATGTGCCTTGGCTGTCCTCCCACCCTGCAGCAACATGGTCATGCACCAGCCCCAGCAAGGTGTCCCTGCTTATCCGTGGGGTGCAACCACAGGGACAGAGGCTGTGGGTGCCAAGGCATGTCACATGCTGACTGCTCAACTGAGGAGCCTCTTGGAGGGTAGGGATATGGGGAAGAGGGATACTGCTGAATGCAGTAGCCTCACATTTTCCACAGTCTGAGTGTTCCTGTATAACAAAGGCTCGCGTGCATCATACACGTGGCTCCAAGATCACAGCCTCCTGAGAAGGTACTCTTCCCCCTACCTCCTTTTCTCTCAAAAAATAGAAAAGGATTGTTAACTAGAAGGGGATGTTGCTACGCAAAGGAATTTCAAATACTTACAAGATCTCTATGACCCAGACCAGGGTGGCCCAGCCCAGAGCTGTCTGGGAAAAACCCCCTGTGGATTCCATTGCGAGGAGATGTGGAAGGGCCATTGGATGCCAACAGGCAGTACCTTCATATGCATTTGCAAATAGCCTGAGACAAAGCAGCCAAAACTATTTACTGCTTTTGCCTCCATGTTAAGGGCACTGAGTGGGAGGCTGGAGGCATGGAATATCTGGTGCATGTGATGCCTCAGAGGAGCTAAGAGCTGTTACCATCTCTGTGGCTGAGGCAGCAGAGGAATATTCTGGGAACTAGCTGTAATGGCTCGTGTGATTGAGCTATTTAGACTTTGGAAGAGTGAGGTTTTCCTGATTCCCAGTGTTTTAATCCAAATTTGCAGGTCTTTACAACAGTGACCTACAGATCTCTACCAAAACCAATGCAATCCCTTCTGCTTTCAGGCAAAAGAGTATTTTGGTAACTTCCTACTACAATCTTGCCCTTTATTATAGGAGTAATTGTCCTGACCTAGCAACTCTGATGACTTTTGTACTTAACCAAGTTTTGCACACTTGAATGGTAATGCAAACTCAGGCACAGAGATATAAACTACGAAGCCTCTTGTATTTTTTTTTCAAACATCACATGTCATCTTGCTGTCTGCTTTTGCTCTAATTTGTGGGACTCCTTGTGTGAGAACATGGCCTTGGACATTTTTGCCTCAGGTCTCTGTGGTATATTTGATTCCTCACTGTGTTCACAATGACAGAGCCCCTTTCAAGATTCAGTCTGAACTGGTGAATTTTTTGCCTGCAATATTCCAGTTGCTTTGTAAAGACTGACTTCAGAGACTTGCCATAGACTAGCAAGGTGAGTATTTGTCCTCAGTTCCTAGGCATTATTAACAGGGTCTCCTCATGTCTCAGCCACAAAACTGAGCCACAAAAATGATTGGATTACAGTATAGAAGAACTCATTTTCCAGGTTGTGTGATAAAACCCACATCTCAACAGGCACAAAGGAGCCCAAGGGCATGATGCAGGCAGGAGAACCCCATAACCCAGTCAGGGAAAGGGACAGGGCTGGGCCCCAGACCACTCTTTGCTGGAGACACTGCCTGGGGGAATGGGACACATTACAGGAGGCAGGGGAAGAGTACTTTGGGATCATTCAGTGTTTACTATGGGAGGTTTAGGGGAAGGAAAGAGAGGGATAAAGGCAGGCTGGGAAGGAAGAAATGTCTGGGAAAATAGAGTCAAGGCTGTTTGTAGGTAAACAGGTTGACAGCCATTGGCTTTTCTGGCCATCCCCCCTTCCTGGCCAGCTCATTCTGTCCTACCTTCTTATTAACTCAATTTCTAACCATCTTTCCTTGTGAGCATGGGTGTTGGGAGATCTGCATGACAGTGGCTGGATCTGGGCCACGGTCAAGTGAACCACATGACTGTGGCACCACCAGTCACCATGGTGAAAGTGTACAGTGTTTAATAGCTTACAGATACCAAACTGGTCTTACCAGTAAGTTGAATAACTGTCTTGGGAGCCAGATATCAGCCTTTTTTCCCTCCCATCTTCCTTTAAAAGTCATTCTCACATGGAGTACAGTGCTCAACTCGTTGCAGTATAATCTCATAACCAGCTCCTTATTAATAAAATCTGTTGAAAACTTCATTTGACAAACAGTGTTGCAATAAAAAGCTGCCTTTGGAGTCTTTTGGACTCTTCCCTGTTTTGAAGGCACCTGCTGCTAGCGAATGAAATGTGAAACCTATCTTTGACACTTTTTCTGATGTCTACACCATTTAAGTGTTTCAACTGGCTTCCCAGCATGTTCACTGCCTGTTTGGTCCCAGCAATAGGTGTTGATCAGCCATCGGTTGAACCCTAAGTGTGACAGTTGATGCACGCACGGTGATAAGCCTTGCTAAACTTCTGCATGAGAAAAAAAGCATTTCTAGCTGGCTTGCACTAAATCTTTTTAAGAAAGTACCTCCTCAGAAAGTGCCTTTTCTTGCATATAAGCTTTTCTTGGTGGAGCAGGTCCAGGATAAAGCACATAATTAAAACTTGTCAAGCTTCAATCACTTCAGGGCAAATGATCCAGATAAGTATTTTGGTTTTACAAGTGGGTAAGTGGGTAG